CCCCCCCCCCCCCCCCCCCCGCCGAGCATTCCCTTTCTTTCTGCAGACTTGAACGGAAAACCCCCCCCCTCGTGACCTGGCAATGAAGGCTGTTGATATGAGCATCTGCCTGCTCTGCCAATCTATCTTTATCAGGCTGTTGTTTATGAAGGCTGTAGGGGGCAAGGCCCCTCGCTCTCCGTCTCTCGCTATCAGTGTCACACATGCGCACCATGAGAAGTAGCGGTAGGCAACCTAAGTTGATCCCCGATGTCGTTCTGCGAACCACTGTCAATCTGCGATGCCACGCCGTTGCAGGCCCCACCCAAGCCCTGAATCCTGAGCCCTTGGCACAATGGTCTCGCTGTGTCCGCTGGCCCCTCGGAGCTTGGCCGAAGAAGCCAACCGCCAAAGGCAAAGGAGGAGAACCCGAAGCTTCATTGCCTCGGAAGCAACACTTCAGCATCGAAGGATGCGAAAGAATCAGCATGGGAGTCTCCTGGGCTCACTGCAACTGAAGCCGCAGAGGCTTCACAGCTCGCATTGACTTGAAAAGGTGAAATTTGGAATATGCTGTTTGCCTACTACTGCCTCCCTGCAATCACGGCCTCCGTATGTGCGAGCCCATGCAGGAGCTATGCCTGCTACAAAGCCATATGGCTGACAGGGCATGCGAGACCGCACAGGGCATGCCAATGGACACGCGAAGGATCGCGAAGGTAGGTTGGAGGCGAGTGTTCCGCCGCTGCGTTTTGGAGAGGATCCGTCAAAGCTTTAGATGTCTTGCTGCAGCTGAAGAACCAGGCAGGATGGCTCCCCGCATAGAGAAGGCGGTTCCATAGACTTGCTTGCACGGGAAAGTCCAAGGCCCCACCCCTGCTCTGTCAATACCAAACAAAAAGGAAGACGATGCCGAACCACAAGCATGGCTACAACAAAGGGCGTCATACTGTACGACAGCAGCTTAGAGTACATATCTATTAATATCATGTATTTTCTCGGGCTCTGAAAAAGCTCTATATATGGTGCCCACGAGCATCATCACTCCAGCTTAGAGCCAATGCCCCTTTGCTTACGAAAGAGGAAAGCCGCCCTCTGCCTTGGCTTTTGCACCGGGCGAAAAGCGAAAGCCGACTCCGAGGTCTTTGCTCCATCTTTGCTCCGCGGCTTCCGTAACCTTTTCGTAAGTCTCTAGATCTCTGATGGCTCTAGTGCCCTTAGAAGCGACTTCGAGCTGTCCCTGCCCCATGATCCGCTACTCTGATCTCGCCACAAGATCCAACACTGACGCCTTCGCCCTTGGACTCGAAAACCTGCACATCCTCCCCCATCGGCGTCAGGAGTCAGCTCAGTCGTCCTTCTTGCTGTCCGGGCCGACGGCCTTGAGGGGTGCAAAAAGGTACATGCCAACCCTCGCGGCCAAGTAGCACAGGCCTGCAATGCTGGCAGCTCGTCATCCAAGACATCATCGACCACATCCTGCATGGTTCAAGGCGTTTCAGGACTGCAGCCCGACCCAAGCTCGGAAGAGGCCGAGACTCAGATTCACAACCAAATCCTCAAAGCTGCCGGTCCTCTACTGGCCAGTGGCCGCCTTTTCTCGCAGCTGGCACCGGTTTCTCCTGCAAAGAGGGCTCTGCCATGAGGACTTCAATGGCCGGCCGAGACTCTGTCTAAGGGCTCCTGCTTGGTCCAAACTTCGCCGCCGCACCACTGCGCGGTTTGCCCATCGCATGCTTCCAAGGATATCCTGAGCCCAGGGCCCCCAAACTGAGCCCTCCCACCCACCCTGCAGCGCTGTCGACCACCTCAGCAAGCACTGCACCTGGGCGCTCCACCCCAGCAGGCGAACGGCACCTGCTTCGTGTCGTAGCCTGAAGCTTCAAGCACGAGTTCCGCAGATCGACAAGCCACCGTCTCGCGGCGTAGGTGCGCACGTTCGGAGGGTGTCCGACAAGAAAGCAAGCTGTAGCGCAGTATGCCATGAACTCATCCATCGCTTGAGCTCGATTGCTGTCTCAGCCCTCGGGCACGAAAGGCATGTTCGAGGCCGTGGTGCGGGCGACGAGGCCCTTCACAACCTTGGCACTGGACCAAGCTGCCGTGCAAGATGATCCCTAAAGAAAAGGAGGGAATACAACAGGGAAGTCCCACTTTTTCGCCATTGCCGGCTCCGAGACTGTGCCATTGTCTAGAGTCTAGATCCGAAAATACGGGCCACAGGCGCGCGTCAAGGCGCATAATGTCTCATAAGCTGCCACTCGCAACTTCGCAAGCGTTTAGCGCTGCGGTTGCGGGGCCTGAGCTGAGAGCTGAAGTCGACTCGAATGCGTTCGGCGTCTGCAGAAAGGCTCCCGAAAGGTTCAACGGAACACCTGCATGGCAACCCATTAAGGTTAAGCCTGTTAAGCCTTATAAGGCCTGCTTTTGCATTTGGAATGGAATTGGACATCGGGAGCTACGCCCGCATTGCAAAATCAAACAGAGCGTGACAGGAAGCACAGCAGACCGCTACCCTCCTGTCCTGTGCCCCTTCGTGGATCCCAGAGAAGTCTCTGGGCTCTGACCTCCTGATCTCCTCCCTTGAGTCCTCACAAGAATTAAATGTGTTTTCATGTCCATGAATAGGTTCGCCTGCCTTTCTATTTCTGTTTGACTTCAAGGATTTCCTCAGGATGGGCGTCGAAGGTATTCAAAAATGACCTCAAGTTCAAATGTCTCGCTGGGCTTCAGACCTGGGCTGATGCCTACATGTGGCTTTGGGGGCAGATAGGGTGTAGGCGTAGGCTTTTGGATTTTGGGCTGTACCTATCGTCGGCCCATAATCCTACAGTACCCTCCTCTTGCAGTGCCCAAAGCTGAAGCCCAAACCCTCAGCCAAGGGAAAGTGATTAAATGCCGGGAGCAGTAGCAGTGACTTCGCTCAGAGTCCCAGGAGCCCTCTCATCCTCTCATGCCCACTCAATACTTTGAGTTCGAAGAAGAAGTGGTATTCATGGATTTAGACTTCGATGACCTGGATGTGCACCCACGTGCTGTTGAAGACCTAAAAAGAACTCTACCGCCTGGTTTGATGACTGAAATTCAGGCATGAGACGGCTTCTTTGATGGAACTCCCACACCGGCAGAGATGGAACGCCGAAACATGCCGAAACAAAACGCAGCCCAACCGTGCGTCTCCAATGGCAAGGAAGCTTCGAGTGGCCCAGAAGTACGCCGTCTGCAAGCGTAAAGGCGGTCAGTTCGACTGCAACAATCTCCGGTGAATCTACGGCCTTGAGGATGCCTGGAGGTGGCAGGCTGGTGAGCCTGTTGTAGCCCCAAGAGCTCTCGCTGTTCACATATGCACAACGGGGCTCAGGCCCAGAAAGCTGTCGTGAATTCGTCTAACTTGCCGAAAGCGGAGAGTAACCACTGGCAGTAGAACAAGTATAATCTCACAGGCTGCGTCACTGGAGTGACGCGGAGGTCTAAAGACCAGAGTAGTGGCTCGGTCGTGTTCTCTCTGACTATATGCCACAGTAGTGGCTGCGAAGGCCGGTACATGGCCACTGAAGTGATTAAGGATTGCACGGTCACTTAACTTTGCATGGCGCAGAGGTGACATTGAATATCTCTTATATGTACCCCAAAATGGTCTACGATTGCGGCGGGCAGCTGAGCAAAGAGGCCTTGCTCGCACTCAGCAGCCCTACATCGCCCTGGTGTACGGTGTAAGTCGCGTAAGTCGTGTAGCCGCGTAGCTAAGCTGAAAGCTCCCATTCGGAAGCCTTCATCTGCAAGGCATGGAGGCACACGATTGAATACATGCAGGGGTGTTACAGAACCCTGGCTTGAAACATCTGAATGAGATGTACAAACCAAGCTTGCTTCCAGTCTCTTCAGACTCCGAACAAACTCCTCTGAGCTGCTGCATTTACACAAGACGAAAGGGTCAATACGGTTCTGAAGGCATGAAACATAGCTTAAACATTGCTGGTGGTATTTTCGTGCTTTAGCCTGCGGCTTCTCTGAAACGGCACCTGTGCTATCATGCGAAGATGCGAAGTCAAATGCGAAGTGCTGCAGCACCCCACCCGGACTGCAAAACCCTCTCCGGGAAGCCCAAGCAGCCACCAGGCCTGAAAAGAGTTTCAAACGAGGCCCATGTCATCGGTCGTTTTGTTTCATCCTAACGTATCCAGGGTCCGGGCCGCCTACCACGTCTGACTGACCGATGTCATGGCCGCAGCTCTTTATTGGGAACGGTCCTTTCAAGCCAAGCCGCCGCATGCCAGGCCTCGGTGCACAGAGAAGCTTTGCAAAAGTCTCCTCAACGAAGATCATTGATCACGCGAAATCCTGATCACTGCCGTGCGACGGCAGTTCCAGAATGCATTCTCACTACCTGAGACCCGCTCGATCGGCGCTGCACTTGTGCAGGCAAGCGAGCAACAGAGGGGGCGGAAGGGCGGGTCTTCAAGCCTCGGGCACAGGGGCATAGAGGGGCACACAGACCGGGCACCAGCGAGAAAAAAGCGTGCGCACTCGCTGGAGTGGTTGTCGCCAGGCCACCAGCCATGGGTGGCTCAGTGCCTCTGCAGCGCCCAAGCGCTCTGCCGGGTCGGAGTACAAGAGCCGGGCTAGGAAATCACGGGCACCTGACCGCAAGCTGGAGCAGGATGTCTGCATCACGCACTCGGCTTCACAAGCGCGCCTGACGTGAGGTTCGGAAGAAAGTCTGCGCTGGCCAGCCTGGGGCTGGCGGCGCTGGGCAACCGACCTGCTGGGAGCAGGTGAGTAGCGCAACGGAAGCAGCCACAGCAAACCTAACTGTGCCCAGGGGCCTGAAAGCATCGCGAAAAGCACGACCTCAGTGCTTTTGGGAGTCTGCAGAGAGAATCCAAGGATGCTCTCGACAAGACTGGATCGCCGAAGGTTTGCCGCCAGAGAAAACTGAGAATCTGACACCCAGGCTAAAGGAATCCAGCGCTCTACTGCAGGCAAACGCTTCACGTCCTCGGATTCGAAGCGCGCAAAGTCACATGCCCGGTGCAAGCACTAACTGGGTGGGTGGGTGGCTGGGTGGGTGGTTGTGGGAGGTTGTGGGTGGTTGTGGGTGAGGGTGGGTGGGGGTGGGTGGGGGTGGGTGGGGGTGGGTGGTTGTGGGTGCCTTGGACATCCTCAGCCGCACGTGATGCACCGGCGACGGCATCATGCAAACAAACGCAAGGGGGATCGATGAAAACGGATGCTCTGAACGCGTGCGGGCACCACAGCTCGGGCAAGCATGCTGGAGCCACTTCGAGACAAACTCAGGCCGAAGGGAGGGTTTTCAGGGCGTCAGCATCGGCAAAACTGAAGCAGGATTGAGACATTACCGCGAGAGAACTTCTGTCATGGAACGAAAATCCTCAAGAATCGAGTGCTACCGACAGCGCCCATGCCAGCATGGACTCCAGTCAAGGCGGAGCAGACTGAATTCCTTCAAGCTGCTGGCTTCCGGAGCCAAGTAAGGCCCAGTGCCTTCAAGTTCACCTGACACCACTACTGGGTTCTGCAGTTGCCAGGAAGTGGCAGGGAAAGAGTCCACGCATGCTGGTGCATGTCGGCACTCCTCCCAGCTCTGCGGTACCCACTCTTCCCGGCGTTAGCCCTCTGCCTCCGTCTAGCAAGGTGCCCTCAGCGGTCGCCAATCCAAAATCCACCACGGTCACCTGAGCGAGAAAGGGAGCAGGGACTCTGCAGAGTGGGCAGGGGCTCCGCAGCTCTCCGCAGATGATGCCTTCGCTTCTCCATCTGCCATAGCGACCATGATGTTCTCCGGCTTCAGGTCCTTAGCCCGTGGTGCTGAATCTTCGAAGGCTGTTTTCCTTACGAAAACGCAAGAGACCGCCAGAGGCCTGCTGTACATTCGACGCTGCACCTACAAGCCAAGCCGCTCTATGAACGATGCCACGAGTGTGGCAGTGGCAAATGGCATCCAAGACTTGCCTCCGAACGGGATTTGGGCTAATGAGGCTATTCCGCCTGAATCGGCCCTTCCTGTTCCAGCTTCAATTGGTCTTTCTGAGGGTCCTCCTCCACCTCTCTAACTCTTCCTGCCACATGTTTAGGGTCGGGTCCCTCCCTGCCACACTCAACTCCAACGATCTAACCCCCCTTCCTTCCTTTCCTGGGGCTGGGACTCTTGCTTGCTGCTGGCACAAGGGGGGCCTGACTCTTTCTTCGGCAGGGCTTGATGAACGGGTCACTTCCCCCGGCCACCCACCATACTTTCGGGGGCATTGGAAGGCCGTGAAACCTTGTTTGTCCATGACGCCCCCGAGTGTAGGCTGGAACTCTCTTTGCCTCTCTTTCCGTCCCTTCTTCTAAACTAATTCAGTGGGTTCCAAGTGATGAAGAAAACCTTCACTGCACCTCTGTCTACGACTCCGTCTCTTGCGACTGCAGCCTTAGCAGCCCTTGACTTCGTGGCGGACCTCATAATGTTGGCTGCCTGCTGCTCGTCAAACCTGTGGATGAGACCACAGACCAGTCACTGCAGGAGTCAACACACGTGGCTACACTTGTTGCGAAGGGTCGTGTTGAACAGACGTGCAGCCCAAACAATCCAGCAAGTCCCAGCAACGGGCCATGTTCGAGAAGGTTCTCCATCAAGTCAACGCCTCGCACCATAGGGGGGGTGTGCTGCGGTCACAAGCTCATGCTCAAGCTTGTGAGGCATTGCCAACCACCTTCGGCATACTCGAGGATGAGGTAGACGTTGAACTGATCCTCGTCGACGTGAATCAGTCCTTGATTCGGCTCTCCGAATCTCGGCTAGCGGACACTCCCATCCCTGGTAGAAGTGTTGTAAGTGGAAAGCTGAACTGACTTGTTGGCCCTGTGTGCGCAGGTGGCGGTGGCACACTCTGCATGACGCCGGAAATTGGATTTCGCTGCGACACGGAATCCAAACTTCTTGTTCAAGCTTTGAAGGCTGGATCGTCGGCAGCTAGGTGTGAGCTTGCAGCAAACACAGACTGGTATCTTGGTTTCAATACACAGCCTGGCTGCTGTTCACCTTCTCATGGTCCAACGTTTGCAGTATCTCCGCCTCGTCGAAGGCGGCTGCCCTCTCTGCTTTCGTCTCCTCAGCTCTCGGATGTTCTGCCCTGGCAGAGTCTTCAGTGCCCAGAGTGCCTACGTGCGCAGAGCAGTGCACTCCTTCGCGATAGTCTTGACGGCAACTGATCTGCCGGTCCTGGAACCAGACCCTACTACGCGCCCGAAGACATGGAGACAGGTTGTGGCTGCAGATCTGGCCTCAAGCTCTGGCCTAAGTGCATCGTGGCAGAGCCTCCCACGCCTCTCGTGGAGTTGAGATTGCAAGAGTGTGTGTGTGTGTGTGTCTGTCTGTCTAGCTGAGCCAAGACATGTAGCAGGAGCCCTTGCAGGATGTCCAAACCGCTCCAAACCGAAGCAAACCGGGGACAAGAAATCCATCCCTTAAAAAGTCTCCAGACTTCTGGGTTCCCGCCTAAGCTCCGGCTCAACCTCGGGCAAGGCGCATTGGCCAAGAAGGGCCCTCTTGTTTGCTTTGGGGAACGTTTTTTACACCTGGTCACTGGTCCCAAGTTTGTACCTCTGAACTATAGTAACTAGACCAGACCATTCTCTGGACCTGCTGTCGGATCACCGTGCCTCTTGCGCCTACCAGGGGCAATTTAAAACCAATGCGTGGCATTTCCGCTGCCAACCTCAATGACTCAAGATTCACAGCTCCAACGAGGCCCACCAGTGAAGCCAGGAGGCTCGTACTCGCCTGCAACGATCTCTTGCGGCGAGGCGTCCGGCGTTCTGGCAGGGCAGCCGGTCCGCACAAGCGGGACTCCACACAGAGGTCCTGTACTACTCAAGCTTTGCCCGCAGCGCACCTCGTGCGATCCCAGCTTCGGCAGCTGGACACATCGTCTGCCTCACACGGAATCGGCCTTTTTTGGCTCCCGCATAGCAGTGTCCGAGGACTCAACATGGTATCTCCTGCGCTTCGGCCTTTGATCCCTGTAGTGTTGGGAGATGCGAGAAATAAATCGGCTGGCCTCAAAGCAGAAGCATGACGAGACCATGCTCTTGACCTCAGCAAGACAGCTTGTCGCCCCGTTCCTGTAGACCCGAACGTCCTGCATCTTTGCACTCAGCTCGCAGCAGCCTCAGCTCCATCCACTCTGTGCCTGTGCAAGGCCTTAGGGCTTTCAGTGCTCTGCAGACTGTAGAGGCTCACAAGCCAACCCTCGTCTTTGCGAAACTGCTCTACACACTTTGAATGCGCTGTTCGTAGCAGCCCGGAACGGGCTGACTTAGGTGCAGACAGCTGAAGGCAGTCTGGGTCGCGCCATGGAGACTAAAACTAGCCCGTGTCACCGTGTTAAAGACGAACGGAATTGCCTTGAGGATTCACGGCAGCGGCGCCCGACCCAAAGAGCGGTTGCAGCCAAGGCCTCTGCACGTGCCTTCACAGCCAGAAGCCATCACAAGCCGTCGATGCTTTCCCCGTGTTAGCATAGGATCCCAAAAAGCACAAGCCTCCCTACCCTGCAAGTTTGTGATTCTACATTCAAATTATGCTATTCTAGCCTCCTCATTATACCCTGAGCCTCGAGCCATCTCTTTCTGGCCCGATTCTCAGCTCTCCAGAAGCCCTCAGGGACCGGCGATCACACGGCCATCCGCCTTAGTGTGGCTTCACAACTCCAAGCCCGAATGAGCCATCTCGCAGGAGTAGGTGAGTGGGGCTTGGGGATCTTGAAACACGACTTCGAGGTTTTGCGGTGCAGGTTTACAAAATGATGATGAATGTCCGACAATAGTGAGGCCCCGCAAAAAGTGACTGGACCCTCCACGCACTGGGCTCCGGGCAGCCTCCCAGTGGCCCTGAAGCTCTTTCTGGAAGGGGATCTGCGCAAGGGCGCAGAATCTCCGAATTGGCTCGGTTCTGGCGTGCGTGCCTTGTGCCGACGCTTCCCGCATTGAACCGAATCTCTTTGGCTTGGGTCTTTGCTCCGGGTTCTCGCCGCTTGCGTTAAAGTTTTACAACTTGAACGTATCCCAACGTCGCCAGGAAAAGGCCAACCCACAGAAACATGAAACAAGGAAGCAACAGCACACCCCGTCGCTTGAAGCTCCCTCACCTCGTAGGGAACCGCTTCCGAGGATGCGAGTACCCTCCGAGGTAGCCAGCCAAACGGCCTTGAGTTGATGCCGAGGTAAATGTGTTCGATGCTCTGGCGAGTCTAGCGGCTAGGGCAGATTCCGACGAATGGCTGCCGGAAGCAGGAAGCAAACTGAATCAGTGAGCAAGGAATGCAAGTGGAGGCAATGTTGCCTGTTGGCTGAAACGCTGCGGAGGCTTGAAAAGACATGTGCGAGTCGGCAAGCAACAAAGACGGAGGGAGAAAGAGAAAGAGAGAGATAGAGAGAGAGAGAGAGAGAGCGAGAGAGAGCGAGAGGGAGGAAAGGCACAGTTCATTGGAGCCCGGACACAGCCTCATGCCGACTCAAGTCGAGGCTGGGACACATCTGAAGTATCAGTGATGCCAGCGCCATTCAGCCCTGAGGGCGAATGCCACGTTAGAGGTTCAACCAAACGCACATCTGATTTCCGAGATCTGCAGGAAATCTTGCAGCCGTCACTGCGCCCTCCTAACCGGCCTCCGTCGGGCATCTTACGACCTTAGACCAGATGCCAAAACACGAAGGTACTTATCCTCAACTTGACCTCCAGAGAATCTTCAACTCCGAATGGGGTCTTAGACGGTCTAAGGTCTAAAGCCTGCAGATGCAGCCTTAACAGGCCCGGTCTCCTCCCTGATGTGGTGCCATGGACATGCGGAGCTTCAAGGCCCTTCGTAGGTGTCGGACCATGCGCCCAGCTGCCCTCAGACTTGGAAACTAGCACGGCCTTCGCTGTAAGTTCACAAAACAGCTCGGATTGTCGCAGTGGGGGTTTTCTGGCTTTGTCTTCCGGGCAGTGACAGGGCCCTTTATGGCACAATGTTATGTATGCATTACTACGCTATGCAACACTACCTATCCATCTATCTACCTACCTACCTACCTACCTACCTATCTATCTGACTGTATGTCCGTGCTTCGGTTCGTTCGGGCCGGGCCTGTCCCGGCTCCACGCTGAGCCGCTCTTCACCGCAGGCCTCCCAAGACTTGGAGGGTTAAGGGTTTAGGTTAAGGGTTTTGGGTGTTTTTCTCACCCCCAGCTGGCCAAGTCGCACCGCAAGGATTTCGAGAGAACTGAAGATTGGAGGGGAGCCCCAGGGCAGAACACACTCTGCAGTGGTGCAACCAGTAAAGAAAGGCAGGAGAGTGTCTTCTCGTCGGGTCTCCAGGTTCTAGCAACACAAAGGCGAAGAGGATCACCCACTATCCAGGGCCAGGGCTTAGGGTTTCAGCACTCACAACTCGGACAAGCCTGGTGAGGTTCCGGGTTCGGCGAAGGCACATATTGGCCAGAGCGAGGCGTAGTCACCACATTCTTAAACGCTGAACGCTAGAAGTCCTCAACTCACTCGGGCTTCAGCTCTCACACTCGGACATTCCAATTCACTAGGGTCTAGGATTTAGGGTTTGCCAGGGGAGTCTTGAGGCTTGAGGGCTCTTGCCTCGCAATCGCAGACCGCGCAGCAGCCAAACCGATAGCAAATCCAGCACCTAGTCCCGACATGCATGCAAGGCCAACTGCTTTCAGCAACGGGAACAACTTCATGCAACCGAAGAGTGCCCCGATTGTGTCGGGCTCACAAAAAACGGCCGAGCTCGGGACCAGTAGCTGAGGCAACACCGTCCTTCCACGAGCACACAACACACGAATGCTGCTCCAGACGTTGGCTCGCCAGTCCGGCTTTCCCGATCCAACAGCTCTGCTGCGGCTTGTCTCTGTCCTTCTCCCGTGAAGTGCTCCCGCACAGGCATGACCATGCTCCTGTGCCAGGCCCAACACACGGAAGCATGCATTATCACATGTCAAGAGCTTCTCGAGGATTCTAGAGCAGTCCGCTGGAACTGAGGCAACATCACAAAGCTATCCGCACACGTTCAACCAGCCCCTCCGCATCCACCTTTGGAGCTTTTCCATCTTTTGGGCGATCTGCTCTGTGCTAATGTCGAAATGTGTGCAACCTGGCATCAATCGCGACCGGACTCCAAGCCCACGTATCAGCAAACTGCAGATGCAGGAGGCTCATGAGTGAGTGCGAAGGCCTGCCCGCACCGGTGGCCAAACAGGCTCTCCTTTAATTACAGACTCAGGACAAAGGGCAGGCGAATGAAATCTCAAGGGTGGCTTGCACATCAAGTTGCAAGGCAGCTAGGACATGGGGTCAACAGCGCAAACACTCCCCGATGAAGTACCGATGCTTCGACATTGACAAGACTCTCTGTCAGCTTGTGTTCTGACTACCCTCAGCATTAAGAACACATGCCGCATGTGGTGCAAACAACCGCCATGTGAAATGCTGTATCGCTTCTTGAAGCGGTGCAATCTTCGGCTCCGCGAAACAACCCTCGCAAGGATGGCTGCATGAACAACAGCAGAGAGAGGACCCACACCACAGGACATGCCGAACGACAACTGGTTGCTCTTAGTGCAAGAGCAAGACGACACGACATACTCATGAGGTCATTCCGCACACAAGGACTGGCGCACCAGCGCGTGTGTCCTCAAGAAAGAGCCCCGAACTCGAAGCTAAGAAAGCTCAAGAGCTCTGCTTGCGCACTGCTTTGCTGGAGCACACGGGGTCTCTCCTGGCGTCGCCAGGCCGGGGACAAGCCAAGAGAAGCTGGAACCCAGTACCTCCGGCAACGCTCTCATTGCTGCCATTCCGTGACCCCTGCATAATGATAGTGAAGACTGAGATGCACTACGATTCACCGAAAGCAAGCGGACACTCGTGTCTCCATCGATGCGACAAGCTGAGGCGAAAACGGCGGCAAAGTTTTCCTTGCGGCCAAGATCGTAGGGGTACACCTCAAACTCAGATGTGGGAGAAAGGTCATCCATCGCAGGTTGGTCAAACTTGCTTCGGGCCTGAGAAGATGTTTGAGAAGCCGTGTTTCTAGCCTACGGCCTACAAGTCCACAGCATCCAACAGCCATCAGCGTCAGGGTTGCACGTCCACTGGTTTGAGTGCTTTGAGCCCTGTCCAATATGTACACTAGTTCTGTCTTGTGATCTCTGCTTGTCCTGAGACACGCTGTTGCAAGCCCGGCTGAACCTTGAGTCTGCAAAGCTCTCTGGTGTGTCTTCGAAACTTCGAGGCTGGCAGACGCATGGGCACGACCATGGATCGACAGAGAACATCGCCATCCTTTCCTCAAATTCCAAATTCGAAACAAGACTCATCCATACAGTCACAGTACTGTCAACACCTGGTGTCGTTTACATGGTCAGCAGCACCTTACCAGGCGCTTACCCACCACGCCCACAACGAGCACCATAGCCGTTTCATCGGTTTTGTTGGCGCACATCCGGGCTGCCGTATGCACATTGACATGAACAACCGCGTGTCGACAAATGTGCGCAAATCTTTTTGGGACTCCAACATCTCAGCTCCGAGGCACAAATTTTCGCTCCCCAGTTCTCCGCCGCCGCATCTCTGCCTTCTCGAGGACATACTCCTCTCGCCCAGGAAAGGAAAATACCATCATGCAACACAGCAAACTCCTAGCCCGGAGCTACCCAGTGATCTGCAAGGAAAGATGCCCCAACTACAGTAGTAGACACCGCCAGTGCACTTTTGAGAGCAGGCAACATCGACCCCACCTCGATCATGCTTATGTTGCCCACCACCGTGTGCTCCATCCTCGAGTGGCTTCAAGCTGGATCCGACAGCTGGGCCACCCGAAAGGCTTCACCAGCCGAGCACGGCACTCCCAGGCAAGTGTGCCTACCAACAACATGACCTCGTCGCTGTGCAGATTTTGGTACAGGAATCCTGGAGCTCACCGATGCTCGAAGCCGAGGAACCACCAAACAGCAGAACCAGGCGATCAGACCCAGCCTGAAGCACTTATGCACTCGCAAGATGGAGCTGTGCATTGGAGTGCTGCGGGATCATGTGAACTTGACCGTGATCTACTGAATGGATCTTGCTACCACTGCCAAGACAAACGACCGAAGCCAAACAAGTCACTAGTGGCTCACCTGCTTTGCTAGCGCTTGGCTTGATCTTCTATCGGCATCGATCGACGACCAAATACGTGCAAGTTCAGCCTAAGACCGCACGTTTCAACCAACGAGCTCGCATGAAGCTGATGCTGCAGACTTCCAGGCTGCTAGCAGAATCCGAAGTCGGACGACAATCCTCACGAAGTCCATGGACTTGCGTGAGTTTTTCCATCCCTCAGGGTTGTGAAGGAGTCCGGTGCGAACAGTTCACACAAGCTCGCGAAGGAATGTGGGTCCGCCATGTCGGGTCTCAGTTCGCAGCATAAAGCAGGAGAATGAACAGTTCGGAGTGCACGCCCAACTCAGTCGCTGCACAGAGCAGGCAGGCACTTGTGTTTTGAGGGCTGTGAAGCCTCTCTTCGGGGTTCCCGAGTTCCTTACCGCATGCAAGGTCGCGATAGGCACGAAGTGCACGAATTGGACGAAAGGCTTCATGTTGATTTGACCTCGGCCACTGAAGCCCTTGAGGTCCCCAAGCCTCCTGCACTGGCAATGCCAAGCCCGCTGCCCACGCATGTGTTGGTCCACGGGCAGTGGTGATCCATACTGGCCAAGCACTGGCTGCACTCGCATCTAAAACTCTCTTCAGAAAAACCTCTTCTTCTTCGGCGGCTTACTTCCTAGAACGTCGCACCCTCTGAAATGTCCGAGGAGTGATGACCCCAAACCAGGAAACTCCTGCGAATACAAACGGCACAAAAGGCTTCAAGCGCATGGTACAACTGTTCGCACAAGAGCTGGACAGGACTTTGATGGCGCTACAGGCTCTGGACAGCAAGTAACTATGGCACCAGTCACAAGAGGCTTGGCCCAAGCCCACAAGGGGAAGGAAAACACGTCTTTGAAACTCCGCTCGGCCTAAGAACACATCGACCGCAGGTAGAGCAGTGATGTGCCCGGGGCCTTAGAAAGGCAGGGCGCAACAAGGGACACTGCACTGCCCCCGGAAGTGGCGGCGCCAAGGCCCGGGCGGTTTGTAGCCTTTGCAGCTGGCACACCACTGGAGCAAATCCGAGACCTTACAGGCAGTTTCTCCCCTTCTCCTTCTCCTCTGAGCCTTTGAGGCTTGTGGAGTGGTTTTGGGTGCCGGCGGGTGGTGCCTCCACGGCCACGGGGAGCCCGGCCTCAGCGGCGCGGTTTTCAGCATGAGCAATTGCTGGGTCCAAGCCGAGTTGCCGGGTCAATGGAGGACCGCAATGTCGAAAGCTCCTGAGCAAGGTCTGAGTCCGGAGGGCTGTGTCTGCGGGGCCTCCGAGCGGCCGGTTAAACGTCCCAACTCTTGCACGAGGCAGGGACAAAACAAGCTCACATAGTGCTCTCGCAACAATCCATTGTTTTCCGGCTGTCACTGTTGGTTGCTCGCAGATAAAAATCGAGCTTGACACAATACATAATCTTCCTTGGGGCTACAAGCCGCACCTTGCGAACCTTTGTCGCTTGTGGAAGGTAGTTGAGCAGGTGTTCTAAGCGCTTGAGAACCTGTTCCTCCGAGTAGTCGAAGGTGTAGCAGTACGCGCAGAATCTGCGCAAGCCCTCCTGAAAGATCCACGCTTTCCCTGATTGGCACACCAGAACTCCACGAAGCTCCTGCCCCCCGCCTCTGCCGTTGAGAGGCCTTCGACTCCAGTGTCTGAAAGGAGAGGCCGCAGCTCGCTTGAAAACAGCTCCAACCTGCCAAGGGCCACTCGTTTTCTTCGCGTGATCTCCTGCCATCCACTTAGTGCAGGCCAGGGTGCGCAAGTTCTGGCAGATTGAAGCAGAGGCGAGTGGTGTTGACCTCAACACATAATTACACACTGATTAAAATGTATGTATGTATGTATATATATATATATGTGTGTGTGTGTGAGTGTGTGTATATACACAGATCTAAGTGATAACACATAAATGTATAAGATATATACTTGCAAAAGATAGGCCCCAGCGGCCTGGAGCAGAGCTGGGCTGAGGCCCGGAAGGCCCGGGTCGCAGTTTCCGCGGAGGAGGCTCCGGAGCAAAAGGCTGGCATCCATTTGAAGAACATCCACGCTCAATCGATTCCTGGGGGAACTTGAGGAGAAGGAGCGTTTGATTCGCTTCAAGGACCCAAACCCACACACAAAGGACCCGTTTAAGAAAGCCGCCCCATGTTGGGACCCTGCTCTCTGCCAAACCTGATGCGGAGACCCAGCCTCTGAGCATTCTGTTTCGCAGCGGCGGCGGCTTCCGGATTGAGATCGTTCACCACGACGTGGCATCCCTTCCTGGACAGTCAAGGATACAACCTCCTGAAGCAACATACCTGCGGACCAGATCTCCGAAAACAACTTTGGCTTTGAGAATCAGGATAAGAAACACATACTTCACGATGCGACAGGCCTTGCACAAAGCAGTGCCAAAGCCCCAACGCCGCCGGCCAAGTCGATGAAAGCCTCTGAGGCGGTTTGGGGCTCTCACCTGATGTGCAAAACGTTCGTGCCGATGTGCCTCACCCTGCCGGCACTCCTTGAGAATGCGCCCGCGCTCGCTGGCCAGACGGGAGTTCCAGTAGACCTCCCCGAAAGCAAACACAAAAACCCGGCCAGACTATGGCCAGGCCATCCAGGCCTTCCGAAAGTCGAACTGGAGCTTGAGTCCGAACTCAGTCACTTCGACGACGGTGTCTGCTTCACCAGCAATTACCTCCCAACAGACGAGCGAAGCGACTGCGACGGGACACCACAGCTGCATTTTGAACGGTGCCTCCATGTCGAACGTGCGAAATTCGTCTGTGACCGCACTCCGCTTTGCAACGGCGGTCCGCACGTTCCTGGCCTTGTCCAACAAAACCTGTGACAGTGCGGTAGAAAGGACACTTGATCACCAAACAGTTCGAGGACTGATCCGTTAGACGCTGGCGACCTGGCCGATGACATGGCGATGTGGCCAATGCTCTGGGAGCAAGTTGAAGTGAGCAATGTGTCCAACCACTTCGTAACCCATGGGCACGGCCACATTCGATGGAAGCAACTGCGTCAAGACTTCCTTGTAATCGAAATTCTCGTAGCCGAGCTCTAGCTCATACTCTGTGAAGGACCCCTCGAAGCCTTGGACTGCATCGTGGACGTCTTGTGGCACATTCGAGGAAGTCACATTCGGCGCCAGTAGCAGCAAGCTAAAACCAGGCTCACAGGCCCCATTCCTTTCCGTCATGACGTTTTGGAAGTTCTGGAGTTTGCTTTTCCTACCAGCTCCATAGCAGAGTGGGAGTACTTCGGGCAGCTGCCTCAGCCGATACGCACCGTCGCCGGGCGCTTTCACAGCCCAGACATGCTCGATTCTGTTAAAGGTCGCTCGGTCGATGCAGTGCCGGATCACCCCGGCATGCCTCACACACCCGTTTCCGGCGCCGTGTGCGAAGAACTTGCAAAGTAAGGTCTGGGGAGGCAGTGCAAGACTCAGAGCGCTCGCCGCGCAGAGGAGTCTGAACAGGCCAGAACCTTGGGCTCCTGCACCAATGCCAATGCACCACCACTGGAAGAGCACAGTCACTAGTAATATCAACTGGTTACGATCACGCGTCCTTCATAGAATTTGAAGCGAAATCCGATGTCCTCGAGGGACGCGAGCTCTGGCAGCTCCCGAAATGCAACTTACAGGCTGGTGCTGCACCCATGGCATCGTTGCATGGCGGTCTACGTCGCTGCCGACATGGAGGAGACACAAGCAGCAAATCTGCTTGACCTTTCCTTGCGCTCTTGTTCCAAACGTCTAAGAAGCTTTACGACATGCTGCCGTGACACATGCCCCGGTGCCTGCAATATTGCAATGTGAGGCTTGTGATCCCAACAGAAGGTCTCGTTGTCTCACGATGTCTCACACACTCTCGTGAGCTTGTTAAATGATAGATGAGCTACCAGCTGCGATCTTGCAGTTTCGGAGCCTGAACTGCATCAGTCGCTTAATGCCTGTCATACTGGCTAGCGGTAGAAGTTGTGGCCTTTGCGCAGTCATCTCAGAAATGCATTCTGCCGTGGCACATCAAGTCGCAGAGACACCCATGCATGGACTTTGTTTGTGGCAGCGGCACCTCCTCGGTTGGGCACCACCCGAACGGCACGAAGCCTGACATGGCAAAGGACTCGGGAACTGCGGTCCGGTCGGGACGTAGTGGGAGTGGCTGCCCCGCCTGGGCCGCGCAGCACCGCGGCAAGGTAACTGATCTGGCAATGGAAGGAAACATCTCTTCGGGCCGTGCTCCGTGTGGGGAAGGGGGAACCTCTCTTGCGATCCCCAGCTTCGAATACAGGAACATGATTCAGAGCATTCCCCCGAGTCATTGACGGCCCCTCAGAAACCCACTCCCAACCAACAACTCTGATGCTTGCACATAACTGAGCTGGAGCGAACCAGCAAGCAGGCCACTTCTGTGCCTTGGCTGGGCAGAAGCAGAGCATGTCGCCATGGTGCGGAGATTCTTACCGTGTTCGCCCGGGATGTCCAAGTCTCCAGCTGAAGAGCACCAGTTCTGTCGAACCGTGCTCCCAGAAGCCAATCTGAGCTTCGCTCTCTAACGGCCACAAGACGGACGCAGATTGGACATTCTACATCCATGGGTCCATGAGCATTCAAGCCATTTCACCACGGTCTCAAATCTGTGCGTGCTGGGGAGCGAGCAGGGTGTATCCAGCCTAGGAGCAGTTACAGTTTGAGAGGGGGCTGACACTATGAGCATGTGTGTTCAAGAGATGGCTCCCGCAACACCACCCCGATTCTCAGCAGGGTGTGAGGGATCGCCGAGCACAATGGCAAAGCTGGCAGAGAGCTGAGATCCCACGCCATGGTACACAGCACTGGCCGAGAGGAAAATGACCAGAAGGATGGTAAGGATAGGTGGGACACCAGCCAATCGCCTGAGCATTGCTGCAACGCACTGATACCCTCAGAGGTTTTGCCTCCACGCTCTAGCTTTGCAAACCCTGTCGGCATTTTGCCTGCAAATCACAGTCGTCACCTAAGAATCATTTGCACAGATTGTCTCCATCGATGGTCCGCGATGCAGAGGCCGACCACTCGTTGCTGCAGATCTGGTCTATCTCGACTATGATTCATCATACTTGAAAGGCATCTTTCGCAGTTTCAGATCCAGCATGTAGCGAGGCCAGCGGGCACGGTCGAAAGTTGTGGGAGACTCGGCCGAACAGGCGCGACACGTCGGCGATGCTCAAGCTGCTTAAGCATGGAACAGCAAATTTGGCTCTGCAGCGTCTCGCAGCAATTGCAAGATCAGCGTCGAATCTTTGTAGTGGTCCTGTCAGATATGGAACGATTCCAGAGACAAAGGAACACTTAGCAATTTTGAGACATCTGCAGCCACGGCCTTTTATTCCTTTCTTGCCTCCTCCGAATCCAGGCTTTCGAGCTCGGTGAGGGCACCGTCGAAGGCGCTGCGCGCTTTTGACCGCGCCGCTGTCGCGTCATTCCTTTGAGTCTGGTCGAGATTTTTTCTCTGAAACACTGAATAAAACACGGGTTGAAGCAATAAATTCTTCTTCTGATACGGTGCAATAGGCCAAGCAGCATTAGCTCCCGCAAGAAAATGGAGTAGTTCAGTGCCAGGGCGAGCCGAACGGGATGAATCACGGACAACCTCACTGCCAGCAATTCTGCTTCGCGGTAGCTTTGTCGAGCTTTCTCACGTGCGTAGGCTGCCCTTTGCCCGAACGTTGCCATGTGACGGTGGTAGTCGGCCTTCATCTTAATGTAAAAGACTAGCGATTCCGAGTCCGGTGCAGCGGGGATCAGCGAACCATCCAACAGGTGGAGCACAGCGAGGCAAAGATGCTCCAGTTCATCCCTCACCTGGTCCATGTACTCTCGCACGTAAACGCCGGCCGGCGGATCTGACTTCGCCCGCACTTCATCTCTGCGTGCGAACTCCAAAGCACACCGTCGAGCACTAACAGCGTTCTTGAAAGCAACAGAAAGAAGATTTCGCTCTTCTTGTGTCAGCTGTGGTCCACCCTTCACCGCATCCGTCATGTGTTCAACCATGTCGTCGAAACGGTCAAGATGCTCGGCAACTCTAGCCAGGAAAATGCTTTTCCGGCGAGGCTCCATTACAAACTACCTAACCTGATCCGGTCTGGCATCTAAATCTGTAGCGAGCAACTTGGATGGAAATGAATTCGACAGGTTTGTTCACGCGAAAAGGCATCAAGCACTTGCAGTCCAGACCTTTTATCATATGCATGGACAACAACTGGTAAAGCAACCTTGATGCTGTACAGCAAGCGTCGAAACCAGTCTGGTGATCCTGCCGCAGCACGTTGCCATCGAGAGCATGGCACAACTGAAATTCTGACAACTTGTTGCATTATGCCGCCCAGCAACTCGTCCACTGAAATGGGCGGGCCCAGCCATGCAAGCGGCAAGAAGCTAAGACCCAGGGCAACCAAACCTGTATTTGTTGCTGGCTGTGTTGGTTCGTGGAAAGCTCGCACCTGCCTTGCTGATGTGAGGTGCCTATGCAAGCCGTTTTTTTGGTTGATGTACCACAATCCTCTCAAAATATGCTTTCATGCTATCTCGAGTGTGGCCTGGCTTGTGCACACCTATTGTATGCTGGAGCGAAATCCAAATTGCAGAGACAGGTTGTTTCTATGGATTGTCGGACAAACGGAAGCACCGCGTCAGCAGCTGCAACGGAAGCACCAGACCAGTCATAATGGAGGGATCCCGCTCGGCAAATGCGTGGCGCAAGCACAGGAAACCTGGGTACGTCCATGTCTAGAGAATCTGCCGACCCCTTCGGTCGGCCTTCGGGAAGCGCCAGTTGGAAGGAATTTTTCGGGTCTGAAAACTACATCCGCACGCCCCCCCCCCCCCCCCCCCCCCC